TCAGCGGGTTCAATAGTATATATATACACGTAAATTAATATTTTAATTCGACGAAGGGGTTCGGATGAACCCCCTTGGTTCAACATAAATCCTCCTCTGCTATTAACGAAACAATATAACAATAACATATTCAATAAAGTCCAAACAAATGGGGTCGAGATATTGTAAATTACATTATTTTTTTGTGGCGTTGAAAAAGAATCCACCCCACACCCCACAAAACTAGTCAATTCCGTGTTAAGTGACACCTCTATTAACTAGGATTCTTAAATACTTATTTAGACAAGATTATTAGCTTTGGAATTAAGTCCTTTTTTAAGCTATGAGTTGTTATAAAAGGAGGAAAAAAAGTACAACACCATGTGATTTTGTTCTTACTAGTGTATAATTTTCAAATCCATAATATATTGGAGGAGAGAAAAAAGACTAATTTGCACTAATATTTTCCACATGGATTAGGTGCGCTCAAAAAAATGAAATGTTCTTTTTTTTGTTTTTGTTTGAAGAAGAAGCATGCTCTATATATGTGACAAAAAAATGGGGTCATGATGGAAATGGAAAAATAAAATTAATTCAACGATAATTCTAGACAAGTTTTTTCTTTAATTGAGATATCAATTTGTAGGTTAATGTTAGTTGTATGAATAATAGGTTCTTTTAAAAATATTGCTTTCATTGTTCTTTCAAAATCAGATGGAATATGATATATGTATATACATTTCAATAATTGGACAGTTACGTTGACTAAAATTTTTAAATAAATTATTTTTTGAAGATGCAAATTTTGGATGTCGGTACAATTCTTTTTACTCATTTTTTGAAAATGTAAATTGAAACAAAGGGAAAGGGAGTATTTTATTTCGTAAAGTAACATAATCGTCTTCTAATATTTTTAGGCACTTGTAAACCTATTTTTTTTGTTGCTCACTTATTCGGTGTGTAGTATCTATATTACGAATTCACGCCGATAAGAAAGTTCATATAAACACAATTTCATATTCAATATTTGAATGTGAGACTTCTAACTAAAGATGAATACCAATCCACCACAGTGCTAGTTGGCACTATCCACTAGGATATTATTTACATGATTGAAATAGAGAAAAATTTCAAAATATGAAGCAAAAGCTTATACACGTTCTACAGTACTCAAATATATATTCCACCTTTTCAGTTATTCTTAATACTATTTTCTTTTGATTTTTCATTATTGAAATCGTCTGTGTGTATATTTTAGTTTTAATATTTCCTCTTATTTTGAAATTATAGAAAAAGTCTTCTTGACGATCAAAACCAAATTAATTACCGACCAAACATGTAGATCATGCTTGTTTGTTTATTTATTTGTAACCATACAAGATAGTTGACGAACAACACATAATATAATTAGTGAGACATTGCCTTCTACGAAGGTGATATAATCGATAAAACATGATCCTCCATGTGATCCTACTTCAAATATTTTTTTTTATATTTTTCAAATTTCAGTTGAAAATCAAAGAGGTGGGCAATATATGGGGAAGCATTATTCTAGCACCCTCTCCAAAATATATCAATATATAATTTCATCACATTCAAGGGAATCAACCATCAAAGCATGATATAATTAATTACGTTTTAAATTCATCACAATGAAATTCTTTAGTGTTGGAGATTCTCGATATTTTTTTAACTAGTGAATTGTTCATATATATTTCATATACTGTTATTTTTCTTTATTATCTAATTTACTAATATCGTCCATTTATGAATTTTTGCATGTTATTGTACATGATTATTTCGATTCGAACAAATTGCTCTCTTGTAAACGTGGGAACACAAAGAGAAATAGTATATAATAGTTACTTTTGATTAAGGATTTAAAGATGAAAAACATATTAGATTTATGAATAAAGTATATGTATGTGTTATCGAATAAGTTAAACAATAGTATGCAATTTGCCTGGGGAACGTGAAAATTAGTATATATCCGTTACCTCAAATAAAATATAATTTATTATGATCAAGAAATAAATTAAACTAATATTATATCTGTGTATAGTTCATAAAATTTCAATTGTTTTTATAAATAAAATTAATGTTTAAATGTAGTTTCAAGATTTGAATATTCTTTCTCAAACTCAAACTTACATCCGTCAGAAATGGCACGTAGATTCAAGCTTAATTAATGCACTTAAATTTAGAGTATTGTTTAGACCGTTAGACGTAGAATTATTGTTTATTTCTTCGTTATAATTTTGAAATCATGGTATTCGTTATTAATGCACTAAAAGTTTGCGAAATTAAAGTTATGTTTTTTTTTGTATAAGCAATGTATACGAAAGATTTTATATTTATTATCCGTTTAATAATAAAAATAAAAATTTGTATATCTTGAGAAAAATTAAATATTATAAATTAAATGATCAAAACGTACGTTGAAACTGATAATTTTTTTGTATTGAAGGATTGCTTGCGAATAATAATTCTCACAATGATATATATTATATACATATGAGTGGGGAGTGGGGACTTGCTTTAATTTGGAACGTAAGAAACTAAGAGGTTATTTTATTTTATTTTTTTTTGTTTGAAAACGATGGAACAACAAAATGGTAATTGGTAGGCATAAAATGCACTTCTGGTTACCTCTTTCTATCGTGTTAATAAATTGTTGTATGTTACGTGTTTCTTTGCTTTTTGACACTTAGATCCACATGCACTTGATCCTAGCTCATCATTGATATCACATGCACCTTAAAAAATTATACTCATATCATTACATTACACTCAATATATAACGAAAAGAAAACTATATACTATAACAAGTACTCTTCCATTGTGGAGGAGTAGTGGGATCGGATCATAAAGGCGCGCATATATAATTCTTGATTAAATAATTTGATTTAAAAAAAAATGATAATCCTTAAAAATATATGTGAATCTAGAACTAAATTTACGAAATTAATTACTTTCAGTTTGAACTATACAATATGCATGAAAATAAAATAAACGTACATATTACCTACTGGAAGAAAAAGAGTACGTTATCGACTCAGTCAACTTCTCCCAAATTACAACTCAACTCTGTCTAATTTCGTTATTTTAATACATATTAATTTTAGTTTTACAAGGACGTATATTTAAATAATAATTAAAACGTACCATGTCTGTTTTTTTGGAAATTGTGTTATCCCTGTTGCAAACATATATTTTTAATTAAAGGAAGATTTTTTTAATATAAAGAAGGAAATTTAATTTCTGAAAGGAAAGTTTCATCTGTTTACAGATCACTTAAACAATTTGTTAAAAATAGTGGCGTAACGGTTTATAAGCAAAGTAAAGTCAACTAATTAGTAATTAATTAAGTATATTAAACTAATGCTGGCTTGTAAATTTTGAATTAGTAGAAGTAGGTTATACCAAGTCATTCTCTTTCTGATAAAAAATACAAAAATGAAAAATAAAATAAACAATTTATTTATGTATGCACTAATAGAGAAACATGAATAAAAGGAACTTTCAGATTACATAATAAACGCGGTATTGTAATTTTTGAATTAGTAGTAGTGCATACCAAGTCTCTTTAAACAAGTTTTAATAATTTAATTTCTTGCATTGAATATTGAACATATATATACGGGAATATTATTTTTTAAGTTATCTCTCAAGTGAACAAAATGCTTCTCTAATTAATATAATAATGAAGAAACATTAATATAAATAATCTTTTCTATTTTTATTTATTATTTATCATGTATATATATGTAGGAAATCGGTGAGAGAGTTCCATTTGGGATTCTTGAGATGTTTTAATGTCAAACTAAATGTCCTATTCAAAGGTTTCTTGTGGACTATTTCCAGTTGGCAAACAAATAAATTTTCTATAGCCATCAACATTCAACACACCAAACACTCCGATATTACATCGGCTTATTTTCAAGAAAATATAAAACAAATAATTTGACCGTTAAGTTGCAAATCAGTAAAGTGAATTAATGTATGCATATTACATATTATATATGCCTTAACTTCAATGAGTTTCAAATGTTATAATAGCCTAAAAATCTGAAAGATCTATTGTTTAGTTTATTCAATATTTACCATATCTTAACATTAATATAAAGGTGAAGGTGGTGTATTTTAACTTTAATGTGTTTAACCATTTGCGGTCGCACGTGCATTGGCTATATAGAAGATTCTTGTGTTGGCTTTTGATGAGAGAATTTAACTTTAATTTCTCTATGAAGATAAAAAATTAGTCACATGAATAAGTAATGCTTTACCATGTTGTGGTGTGGAAGAGTGAGACTTTTCATCTTTAACCAGACTTTTTGGATTTGAGTTATGTGTTTGGAGAAAATGCTATTAGGAATCCATCTCCGAATGACCCTGCCATCCGAAATTTAAATTTAAATTTAATCGGAAAAGAAAACCCAAAAAAATTTAAAAAGTAAGGCTTCATTATTAATCCCTTTGAACACGGAATTGGAAAATATATCCAAATTAAAGGCAACTCTACCAACCTTTATCTCATAGGATACCCCAACCCCAACCCCACCACGGCGGCTAGGAAAATAGAAGACAAGAATAAAGACCAAACTGTATGATCTCACTAGTAAATAGAGGCAACCCATACAAATTATTAAGTACGTATTCTAATATATTGAAGAGTGAAAAATAAAGTTAAAACAAGATTTTTTTCCCCCCATTATTACATAATAATTAATTGTGTTATATTCTTTTTGTAAATAAATCTATGTAGCAGGTAGCCACTTGTTAGACAATGGAGAATTCATAGTGATGGAATTTTTTTTTTTTAAAAATAAAAATTGAGCAAGTCCAGCTGTATAGAGTTCATTTTTGAAAAGTCTTTATTCTCACAATCAGACAAATTGAATTGGTGGCAATTGACAGCTCCACATTAACGACTGCTAGTGTTACTATAAATATTTTGCCCATTGCTTCTCATTTAGCCATCACTGATCTAACTAAACCACTACTTCTCTTCCTCCTCCTTCTTTCTGGCTCTTCCAAAGAGTCTTCTTGTACATTTATCTATAGCCACATTTGAGGAGCTGGTGGTGCAATTTCCCTGCTAGCAATGAGGCTTCTCGCTGGCGGCCCCGGCCGGGGTCGTCATTATTTGCCACATATCTTAGTGGCATTGGTGGCCATTTTGGCTGTTGTTGATATTGTTTCTGCTGACCCTTACATATATGCCTCTCCACCTCCACCTTATGAGTACAAGTCCCCACCACCTCCTTCTCCCTCTCCACCACCACCATACGTGTACAAGTCCCCACCACCTCCATCACCCTCTCCTCCACCACCATACGTGTACAAGTCCCCGCCACCTCCTTCACCATCTCCACCACCACCATACTACTACAAGTCCCCACCACCTCCTTCACCGTCTCCACCACCACCATACTACTACAAGTCTCCACCACCTCCATCACCATCTCCTCCACCACCTTACTACTATAAATCACCTCCTCCACCCTCACCATCGCCTCCTCCACCATATTACTACAAGTCCCCACCACCTCCATCACCTTCACCACCACCACCTTACTACTACAAGTCTCCACCACCTCCATCACCTTCGCCACCACCACCTTACTACTACAAGTCCCCACCACCTCCATCACCTTCGCCACCACCACCTTACTACTACAAGTCCCCTCCACCACCTGATCCCTCACCACCACCACCTTACTACTATAAGTCTCCACCTCCACCTTCACCATCACCACCTCCACCTTATTACTACAAGTCTCCTCCACCACCTTCACCTTCACCACCTCCACCTTATTACTACAAGTCTCCTCCACCACCTTCACCATCACCTCCACCACCATACTACTATTCTTCCCCACCACCACCCAAGAAATCACCTCCTCCACCATACTACTACTCCTCTCCTCCACCACCCAAGAAGTCACCTCCACCTCCATACTACTACAGCTCTCCACCACCACCAGTTAAGTCTCCTCCTCCACCATACTATTACTCCTCACCACCACCACCCAAGAAGTCACCACCACCACCATACTACTACTCCTCGCCACCACCACCCAAGAAGTCACCTCCTCCACCATACTACTACAGTTCTCCACCACCACCAGTTAAGTCACCACCACCCCCATACTACTACTCTTCCCCTCCACCACCAGTTAAGTCATCTCCTCCACCATACTACTACACTTCCCCTCCACCACCTACTTCTTACTATCCTCCTCATCATCCCTTGATCGTTAAGGTTGTCGGAAAAGTCTATTGCTACAGATGCTATGACTGGAAATACCCAAAGAAATCCCATGACAAGAAGCACCTCAAAGGTATTACTACTCACCACTAACACACATATTCTCTAATTACATTGTCTTTTGTTCATAAATAACTATATTCAGTAAGATCTTTATTTGTGAATATATTATTCTCTTTGCTCGAAATTAATGTGTCTTGCTGATCAATTGGGATCTCCCCTGCTTAATAATATACCATACATGATACATGCTTGAATTTGAAGGCACCACCTTATTCATTCATGAAATGCCTTTTGAGACTTAAATTTTATTTAACATGTGTCAACCAGCATTCTTCTATAATTATTGTGAAAGTGAAGGACTATTAATACTTGTTCCTCAAAATGAAAGTGATATTTAAGCAAAATCTTGTATAGAGAGTTAATTATAAGGTTGAGTTCTTAAATTATGCTACTTAGTATATTTATCCTAAGTATGTGGTTCTCCTTACTTTAAAGAATTAGCTCAAAATATGAAAACTCTTTGTTATATTAATTAATTAATATTCCCCTGCATAAAGATGAAAAAGAAAAGAAAGTTGATGAATGCACTAAATATTTTTGTTAAACAATGCTTTAAAACCATTGGAGGAGTTTTTTGCAACCGAATATATCATGAGAAAACATCAAAAGTATAAGTAAGAAAACATTGTCACTTAATTATGCTTGCCATAAAAAAAGCAAACCTGAGATATATATTCATTGATTGTGCAATTATTTGTGGTATCATATACTATGATTTTCTTTTACATGATTGAGCAATTATTTGTGGTACAATAATAATAATAATAATAATAATAATAAAATTTCGTGGAAATAAAAAAAAAGGGTTAAAAAACAGAGTGGTGCCAAACAGAGTCTTCATTGGCTCACTAAAAGAAGTAATTGAAGACAGATGGATAGATTCTTGACTTTTGAATTACTTATTAGATAAAAGGGAAAAAAATGATGAATTAGTGGATAATGAACTTTTAATCATGTGATGGAACACAAAGTTGGTTATTGTAGCTAGTGGGCAAAAATAAGCTTAACATATGTCTATAGGACTCAATTATTAAGTAATACTAACTAATTTTCACACTTGGTATAGGTGCTGTTGTTGAGGTGACATGCAAGGTTGGTGACAAGGAAATCAAGAGCTATGGTACCACTAAGATTAATGGAAAATATAGCATCACTGTTGAAGGATTTGATTATGCCAAATATGGAGCAGATGCATGCAAGGCTAAACTCCACAAAGCACCAAAGGATTCAAAATGTAACATCCCCACATATCTTCATTGGGGCATCAAGGGTGCTAACCTCAAAGTGAAGTCAAAGAATCATTATGAAGTTGTGCTCTCTGCTAAACCATTTGCTTATGCTCCAAAAACTCCATATGAAGAATGCATGAAGCCTAAGCCAACCCCAACTCCTTACTACTACAAATCTCCTCCTCCTCCATCACCAAAGTACGTGTACAAGTCACCACCACCTCCATCACCTAAATATGTGTACAAGTCACCACCACCTCCATCACCAAAGTACGTGTACAAGTCACCACCACCTCCATCACCAAAGTACGTGTACAAGTCACCACCTCCTCCATCACCTAAATACGTGTACAAGTCACCACCACCTCCATCACCAAAGTACGTGTACAAGTCACCACCTCCTCCATCACCTAAATACGTCTACAAGTCCCCACCACCTCCATCACCGAAGTACGTATACAAGTCACCACCTCCTCCATCACCTAAGTACGTCTACAAGTCTCCACCACCTCCCTCACCTAAGTACGTGTACAAGTCCCCACCACCACCATCACCTAAATACGTCTACAAGTCCCCACCACCTCCATCACCGAAGTACGTATACAAGTCTCCACCACCTCCATCACCGAAGTACGTCTACAAGTCTCCACCACCACCACCATACTATTACAAGTCTCCTCCACCACCATCACCTAAATACGTCTACAAGTCCCCACCACCTCCATCACCGAAGTACGTATACAAGTCTCCACCACCACCACCATACTATTACAAGTCTCCTCCACCACCATCTCCATCACCACCACCTCCATACTACTACAAATCTCCTCCACCACCATCACCATCACCTCCACCTCCCTACTATTACAAGTCTCCACCACCACCATCACCATCTCCTCCTCCACCATACTATTACAAGTCTCCTCCACCACCATCTCCATCACCCCCACCTCCCTACTATTACAAGTCTCCTCCTCCACCATCACCATCTCCTCCTCCACCATACTACTACAAGTCTCCACCACCACCAGACCCATCTCCTCCACCACCATACTATTACAAGTCTCCTCCACCACCATCCCCATCACCACCACCTCCATACTACTACAAATCTCCTCCACCACCATCACCATCACCTCCACCTCCCTACTACTACAAGTCTCCTCCACCACCATCACCATCTCCTCCTCCACCATACTACTACAAATCCCCACCACCACCTTCCCCATCTCCTCCTCCACCATACTACTACAAGTCCCCACCACCACCATCCCTATCTCCTCCTCCACCATACTACTACAAGTCTCCACCACCACCTTCCCCATCTCCTCCTCCACCATACTACTACAAGTCTCCACCGCCACCATCTCCATCTCCTCCTCCACCATACTACTACAAGTCCCCACCACCACCATCCCCATCACCTCCACCTCCCTACTACTACAAGTCTCCTCCACCACCATCGCCATCTCCTCCTCCACCATACTACTACAAGTCGCCACCACCACCATCCCCATCTCCTCCTCCACCATACTACTACAAATCACCACCCCCACCATCTCCATCTCCTCCTCCACCATACTACTACAAGTCTCCACCACCACCAGACCCATCTCCCCCACCACCATACTACTACAAGTCTCCTCCACCACCATCGCCATCACCCCCACCTCCATACTACTACAAATCACCACCACCACCATCCCCATCACCTCCACCTCCCTACTACTACAAGTCTCCTCCACCACCATCGCCATCTCCTCCTCCACCATACTACTACAAGTCCCCACCACCACCATCACCGTCTCCTCCTCCACCATACTACTACAAGTCCCCACCACCACCATCACCATCACCACCACCTCCCTACTACTACCACTCTCCACCTCCACCTGTGAAGTCTCCTCCTCCTCCATACTACTACAGCTCACCTCCCCCACCGGTAAAATCACCTCCCCCTCCAGTATACATCTATGGTTCTCCACCACCACCAGTCCACTACTAAGCAGTTCGAAAAGCTTGGCCATTTTCCACAACCACTCAAGTAAGTTGAATTATATTTTAAAATGTCCTTGTTAATTTTACCTAAGATAAAGGTCTGTAGCTAATTAATATAAATATATTGTTTTGCAGATTTCAGTTTCAGTCACAAAATAAGTGATGGGTTCTTGAGGAGAAGATTAAGAGTTCCATGGTCAAATGCAATTAATAAGAAGTTCAACTTTGCAATTGAGAGGTTGATTCCTAGTGACTTGGACCACTTTACTTCTACTTCTCTGGTTTCCTTATTACACATTGTTCTCTGTGTGTCTTCACGTACGTGGAAAGTGGCTTCGACAGCTTAATTAGTTGGAAATAGTAATTATACATCTAGTGTACAATTTCATATGTTGCTTCTTTATAGTAATTTATTATTATTATTATGTATAGGCTTTGCAATTTGATTCGTTTGCTCTTAATTATTGTTGGCTGTCTCCTAGTGCCTACTTGTGCTTTTGTGCACCAAATCAATAAAGAGATGATTTTTGTTCACTTTGGTTTTATTTTATACTCTTTCCATTCTAATTTTTCTCTTTACCTGAAAAAGATCGATAAAGAATGGAGAATATCAATACAATCCTCTTGATTACATGTGATGATAATTATTATATATAGATTCCTCCTCTTGATAGCATGTGATGATAATTAATTTATTCTTTTAAAAATATATATTTCTCTTTCATCATTTCCCGAAAACCTCAGAAAAAATAAATATATAAGAAAGGAAAGACGGTGAATGAAGTAGACAATATATACTCATATAACATTAGTTGGTTTCTAATTTTCCTTTTAGGATAGGCTTTTTTTCCTTATCTAATTTTTCCTTTTACAGAAATGATAATCACTTATTGACATATAATTCTTGTGGCAATTTTTTTTCTTCTTTTTTACACAAATCTCATAGTGTAGTGTTATTAGCTAATTACATCATATTCTTACTCTTTTCCAAATTACAAAAAATTCTTAAATTTGGTGAAATCTGGATACATCTTAAAATGTCTCATGTATTGTGTCTCAGTTTCGAATACATCTCTCAATGTCCCGATACATTGCATCTCGATTTTGGATACATCACTCAACGTCCTGATACATCGCGTACATCCTGATATTACTTTTTTTCAAATACTATTTTTTTAAAATATCATATTTTTAGGTTGAAAATGCCTAGTTGGTGTCGTTCTCGTATGGCATTAACATTTTCTCAAGTTAGTCACTGTATATAGCTAGCTTTGTTTGAATTCGTTGCTAATTGCTTTTGGTTGCTGGTCCCAAACCCAAAGGCCAAAACACACATCACATGCCACATTGAAAAAGTATATAACCCTACATTATGATTTATGAATTGACGAGTAGCAGCCTTTTTGTCCTCAATAATTGGGATTTTTTATACTTATTTTTATGCATGAAAAATTAATATAAGGATCCATTTACAAATTGAAATTTTGACGTATACACTGCATCAGCAAGGCATGGAGATTTAATTAACATTTACTACTTTGTATTATATCGACCTAATACATATATAAATGAATTCATTTTTGTCATATATTAGTAATTATTAAAGGATGTCTCAATCATAGAATGACAAAAGATCTATGCATGTGCTTGAGATCGTGTGTCCACTAACAACTAATTACATGTTGTCCTCTTCTAAATTATAATATAGTCATACGTAGTAACTCTAGTTAATTTGAATGGTTAATTAAATCGATCAATATGAAAATAAAATATTTAATTAATTTGAATATAATGCATGAGAGTTTATATATATATATATTTATACTCCATAATAAGTTGGTGGCAAACATCAATGCCAAGATGTGATAGGTTTGACTAGCACTAATACTGTGTACATGTGAGTTATATACAGATTGAAACAAATTACATATCAATTGATATTTCTTTGTTATATAAAAACATTTTTTAGATGTTTCCATTCCCCTTTAACTTTTTGTCTCATTGTTTCCTTTATAATAGCCGCCTGCCAACTCACTATATTATAAAAGCATCTCGATCGACTATTACTTTAACTCAACTGCTCCTTTAATTTGGTCACTTGTGGCTGCTGGACTGTACTACTTCTATCACTCTAAATTTGGAAAATTGGCAGTTGGATCTATCACAAGGTACGTAACATGTGGAGATTGAAGATAGATTGATCAATCGAACCTATGATATTAGCTTGCATGGTTCCGGAATTATAAGAATGGAATGTATCAGTGTAACTGTTCCTCAAGAATCTAGGATCCTCTCATATTTTGATTCTTTAGTGAAAATTCCGACTCTGCCAATATCAGTTGTCAATCATTGTATTGTTCACTGCTTTCTGTTCACTATAATATGCATGTCCCCATGTATACAAATTAAATTGTTACTTTAACTCACCAAATTAGGTGTAGACATAATTATGGTTTTTCGGCCTTTTCCAATCAACTTCTAGTCCTTTTTTATTATACAGTAATTAACTAATTATTAATTAATACATGATTGATTAGAAGATTGATGAAAAATTCAATAAATAAGTGATACTCTACTGTTAGTGGAATTATAATGTGCTATTTGTTGTATTACCTCATTTGTTTGTTATAATCAAAAGATATCAATCCAAAAGATGAACAATAATGATCTAGGCCCACTTTTAATCTTTTTCTTCTTTAATAATTTGAAAGAAAAAAACAAAGGAGTGCTGGTCACTCTAATATATATATATTCTATAATGACCCGACCCGAATAAGTGGTAAACATACAACAAGCACATAGTACCAAAGGGTAGAAGAAAATACTAGTCAAGATGGGGACAAGACTGAATAATTCTAGAAATAATCATTAGGAACAAAAGAAGTAGATTAATTATTATAATGACAGTTGTGTGTAATAGCATCATCCAAATTCCACAATTCAGACCAAACTTCAAGTAATATTTTGTTGAGGAATGTTCGGACCAAATTAAATAATACTATAAATTATATCAATCGAGTTGATTAACTATTTTTTAAATTGTTATCACACTCTAAACAATTCAATCAAAGAAGAGAAAATAGATCAATAATATTTTAATATAGTAATAGCTAAGGATATCTCCATCGACTAAAAAAGAAAGGAGGAAGACTAATCGCCATCCAACTCGAACCTTTGTTATCTAAGTTAAAAGTTTCCATCAGATACTCATTTGAAATCTTTTTCTGGTTAATAATGTGAGATATAAGGTTTACTTATTAGTTGTCGGGCTAATGATGCACAAAGTGACAAATGCCCCCATAGGAGGAAATAGGAATAATCATAATTATACCGTGAAAAATGGAGTTGTAAGATCAACATCCCTTCAAGGCTTTAACAATATAGATAAAAGAGGTCCCATCAAAATGAGAGGATAAAATCGTCCTCCTCATATTTTAGTTTGACTATGAAAGATGTGATCATACACATTTTTGTAATAAAAGGTCAGAGTCAATCTCATCATAATAAATATCTTTAATATTGTGATCACAGGTAATAATGTTGATGAGATTACAAGATTGAAGGTAACCAATAATGTGCTCGACTAATATTCTAAAAAGGATAAAATATGACTTTTAAAGTTAAACATTCTTTTGGAAAAGAAGAGATATATACTCCCTCTGCTTCATATTATCATAGTATGATTTGATACGGAAATTAAGAAAGTAAAACTTTGAATCTTATAATTTTAAACTAAAGATGTGGATAGCAATACGAGAATATTCTTTGAATCTTGGAGTCTTAAATATAAAAAGTAGCATTCTTTCAAAGACAAACTAACAATAATAAAAGTAAAAACAAAAACAAAATTGCATCATGTATAGTTGGTTAGATCTGATATCATGGGTTTTGATATTTGGTTATGTCTGAAGGGAATATAGGGCAGTTGTTAGAGATACAAGTTTGGACTTATTATGTTCATAATCTGTTTTCTTGAACAGTACCAAGTAAAATCCTCTCTTATATATATTGAGGCAGTATGACATATGCTAACACCATTGTTTCACTGACTCATTAAGATGACAAAATATCAACATCTGAAAAACCTGCAATCCTCTTCTCAACCAATTATGTCAAAAAGAATTTCCTTAGAAATGGTAGAGGAAACAAGGGAGAGTATATCAAAACTTGAGAACAAGAATTGCTAGTTAAGAACTTATAATGATTATCATAATCCTAATCTACATATAATATACATTTGAAAATCAAGGTGACAACAATCTGCATTACATGACAAACAACTTTGATGCATCCTAGCTCAGTATATTCTTCCTCCTTTTCAAAAACAAACTCATCAAAAGATGATGAGGAATCAAACAGGATAACTGGAGTAGACAAATCAACCAGTCAGCTACGAAAGCGGTCAAGAAGCTGAAAACAAAGGGGAAGATGTTAGAACGTAGCATGATACATTTGATACAAAAACTGAAACATATATCTGTAAAAATAAATGCTGCTGTCAATCATCTAAACCTTTTTCTTTCCCCAAGTTACACCATAATGGCCACTTCTTAGCCATGGTCCAGATCAAAGATCCATTACCTTTCTTGTTCTTATAGATATATAAAATTTTGCCCCTCTTGAGTTCTAATACATCCATGACTCGGATTTATAAAGTGAGGTTTGCTGGAAGGTTTATGGCACTACATAACACCAACGTAATGGATTTAATAAGTTTCTATTCCCAAAGAGTAGACTATGACATAAATTTGACCGTAACCAAAAAGTGGCGCCCTATGGTATGCCATTTAACCATTATCAAATGTGAGTATAAAAAATATGGCCATTTATCTGATAAAACCAGGAACCTTGAGCACAAATTAATCATATAGGAGTGCGATTTGCACAACCCAAAGCATTGAGGACAAAATTGCAACTTCAGACGACCATTAAGGACCACAAAATAACTTCCATTCTAACAACCTCAAAAGAACCAACAATGAGAAGCACAAAAACCAAAGAAACATGACCGTAGGCAAAATCAAAATCAGGCATGCCTCTGTACAATATTTAACACAACCAATCAAGGGACAAAGCCCACTTCCCTCGTTTTGGGTAAAAACTTCAACCCCATGTATCAGTTTAATTAGATGCCTTTTAAAAGGAAAAATGGCTTGAAGGAGCTGCAGAAGCTTTAAATACCCTTCCATCTCCAATGAATCCATATTTAGCCAGCCACTAATTTGAGATAGACATAAGTATTAACTCACCAGAGCAGGATACTGCAGAATCCATCCAAATACAGGAATCTGGAAAAGAAAAACCTTGATGGATGGCCAGAAACAACTGCAGGGAAAAGATCAGTGTCAAAATCTTATGTCACTCAAGGAAGACGAATGAGAAGATAAATATGAGAAAACTTGTCCGGTAACTATCCAAAAGGTGCTCACCCGAAGAGAATAATGCATCCATATATTTCCACAATGATACCCACAACTGGCCAGCGAACGAATATGAGAAAGAGCCCAAGCATAAATGATATTGTGCCCTGGAGTAAAAGAGAAAAAGGACCTAAGATGAAAACTGAAGTGATGCAACTTGTTTAGTTTCAGTCAAAGAAAGATATCGAATAAAGAAACATTTATGTCTTAAGCAAGGTAGACCATCACACGTCAGAGCCCCTCACCCCCCACCCCCCTCCACCCTAGCTCTCTCCCTCACATTATGAAGACCATTACTGTTTTCATTCTAAAACAGTAAAAATTGAGAACATAAGGCATTTAGATCCAGCAGTGAAATTACATAAGATGGATAAAACAACAAGGCATGAATGCAAAGGTTGAGAGAGAATGCATTGCCTAGAGAATTAATAGCCCTTGAGAGATAGGTTAGAAAGTTTTGTACTAAAGCAGAAGGTTCTAAGCTGTTAACTTCTGAAACATTAACGTAAGTATCATGCAGAATCACATAGAAGAGAAGCTCTCGGCAATTCTCCTCCCTACCTTTTTTTTTTGATGACCAAGAAATTCCCGAGGACGAGTAGTGCACAGTTCGAAACTTGGTGCATAATAGTCCACACTTCTACCCTTCTACACTTAAATACCAGGATATTGTCTATGGTAGGGTTCGAACCCATGACGTGCTTTCCCTCTGTGCTTTTCGGACTTAAGCCTAGTTGTCATGACCACGAGAAATGGAAATCAAGCCACCTAAACAAGCTCTATATCATAGACTACAGATGGAAGATAAATTATTCTACATAGCTCAAAAGAAATAAGTCGAACTAACATAGAGCAATAGGAATACTTCAGTGGGGTTTGCAACTGATCAAGTAAAGAAGAAGTTGGAATCAAATTAATAGCTAAACTGCTAGTTGGATATGTAACTATCTGAAGTTGCATTGGTGGGTACCAGAAACATCTGCAGAAGATGCAATTTATAAATTACAGAATTTCAATACATATGGAAGATATGGAGAGGTGATAAGACATGACATGGTTCAACTGCAGTTTACCAAGGATATGACCCTAGATAGGAAGATATGAAGGTCAGGGATTAGGGTAGAAGGTTAGTAGGTAGTCGAGCATTGTCTAGTTCCCTTATCAGTTTTATTATTATTACTCTCATGCTATCTTATTCTTCGATCTTAGTATTACCTGTTGTTTCCTTTGCTTCAATTATCGTATTAGTTGTTGTTGCTACTATTCTCTTCTGCAGATTCTTAGCTATTGTATTTGCTTTACATACTTGATCCTTTTTTGATATGCTTTACTTGAGACGAGGGTGTATCGGAAACAACTTCTCTATCTTCACAAGGTAGGGGTAAGGCCCCGTACACACCACCCTCCTCATACCCCACTTGTGGGATTATACTGGGTTTGTTGTTATTGTTGTTGTTGCAATACATAAGGGAGATTGTGAGCATTGAACCTTTTTACTCTTTCCTTTACTAAAACAAGAAGTTTATATTGCCTCACAAAAGGTAATGGAGCCTCTCCAGATATTTTTATGTTAACGATCTTTTCCCAGAGAAGTAGAAGGTTTGCCTTGGTAGCCTTTCATTCAGTATATTTTAAGACATTATGGGTTAGAATTTTGTGTTCTTCTCATCACTTAAAAGGAGCTTTGTGAAATTTTGGAGCATCTAGGAGACACATTATCATGGTCTGCTCCTTTGTGACCTATTCCTGAACTTCTTAATTTTCATTCTTAGTATTTTTTTTAAACAGAAAGCACAACTGATTTAAAAAGCTTTACCTCTGAAGACAAATTAAAAATCTATCTGAAAAGACAACAAAATAACCTCGTGCTAGAGAGCAACTAGTATTCAGAGTCGCGTTTAAGCCACACTGCGACATTGTGTTCGAATTTAACAATCGAAGCTTTAGCAAAGCCTAAGGATTAGGTATTGCAACAAGCATGATATATGCCAAATCAATCACATGGAAGAGCTAAATCTGCTAGATCTGTTAAACTGCACCACAGAAATATGAGATTGCTCTTATATACAGAAAATTGCTAATATAAGCAGCAGAAAATGCTATTACTACGCATTGAGTGAATTATAACAGGACAATAGGATGTATTCCTCAATTACTTATCCAAAAAATGTCCCTACCTTGTAGTTTACTTTGAAGAGCTGTAATGTAGAACGCAAGCCCAACAGAAGTGCTACACCTGCTAACAGAAGTATCTAGGACAAGGTATGAAGAAGAAATTAGTTGGTAGTTTCATAAACCCAACATTATATAAAACATACATAACTACAGATTACTTACATTAGCCAGCGCAAGCAAACCCCTGTCGAAGAACAACATTATGGCAAGAAATGTGAAAAAGATGCCAAATCCAATGAGACCTAACCCAACCTCTGCAAGGTTTATAAAATTTTCAAGGTGAGATGCTAAGCTATATATTAGTAAATAGAGTGTAGATCTTGAATGCATTTATGGCTCTTTGAAGATACAGAAAATTGCTTACTTTTTTGTTCATCTAATTCATATGCCATCTCGCTGATACTGTGCCTCTTTCTAAAATCAGAGCTGCAGTATCTTCCTACAAATGATTAGCATAAGAATATATATGTAATACAGTAGACTTTCAATTTAAGTAATAGTAGTAACGATAACGCGAATGCAACTATTGAATTACAGAATCAATCCACCTGTATTGAGACATCAGCCAAATTATAACTCATTCTCTTTCTTGTTTATTTAACCAAAAATGTGAAACTTTCATTTGACAAACAAAGTAAACATAAAACTGAAATCTAGCATGCCATCTTCTTTTTTAAAACTAAAAATCCATTCTTTGATTTATGCATAACTTTTTCTCTATTTTCTTCCTAATTTCAATTTATTTTGATAACAAAAAATCTAGCGTTTTTCAGCTTTCTAACGATTTTTTTTTTTTTTGGGGGAATGGATTTTTGGGTATCAAGACCTTCCAAGTTCCATTTTTTCAGATTTTGCATACAAAAGGGTACTAAGAAACAATGAATTAAGGTGAAGAAGAGAAAATTACCACTTAGATTCGGCTTCTCTCAACAATTCAGATCGCTTACACTTGCAGTACCGGTTCCGGCCGAATGGTATTCCTACTGCTCTCTCACTTTTGCTTTTCTTATTTTCTTAGCACAACCTATCCTTTTTTTTTTTTGAATTAAATTAGTTTTAATTTTTTGGAAATAACCTCTCTAATTTGATGTACACCAACGTTATTGTTGTATGTTTCTTGAATGGTCTTTATCCAAAAAATAAAATAAAAAATTAAATTGTTGTTTTTATAATTCGTTTCATAGAAATATGTCAATTTTATTGTATTCTTATCACTAGCCACAATAGTCTTAAGATCAATTAGCAAATTATTGGTTGGTGTTTGAAGAAGAAAATGTGATACTGTTTTCTTTTACTGTATAAAAAAGTACCTAGTATCTAAAAATATTTTTCTTGCGTCTAAAAACATCATCCCAAAATCGAATAAACTTTGCAATAAAAAGTAGGAATTCAAGAACATGGTGAAACTCGATAGTGAAATACACACATTATAGATATTTAATTGAAACTCGATTGAAAGAAGAACGAAATATCGAAATGAAACAAAAGTAAAATAAATATATCAATGCATAAATGGTTCCTATATTGGAAATTTTAGATAATGCATAAGTTGAAGGGTCAACTTTTTGTTCAGAAATCAAGTGTAACATAAACAATAATGACTCCAAAAAATCTACATGTATGTATACAAATGGACGAAGCTGCAAAAAAGGACACCTGAGATAGGTGATCCTAAAATAATACACAACAGCTAAAAAATGTGCAACTGCAAAACAACCCTGAAACATGGAATTAAGATACAATTCTATCCTCTTATCTACAAATGCTAATCCAAAATATAGACTCTACAACAGATGGTGAGCTCAACAGGCCAACACTATTCACTAGAATACATTCTATCGCGTAGTTTTTCAATCTTCTTTAGTTTCCCAAATGCACAGGCTTAAGCTTATTGGTATCCACCACCGAATGGTTGTTGGCCATAGTTACCTGTGCCCATCATGGGATTGTAGCCTCCTGGCATAATAGATCCACCAGTTGGTTGTTGCATTTGTACTCCTTGCCCCATGTTCATGTTCATGCTCATTCCCATATGCATTGGTCTAGCCATCCCCATGCCCATAGGCTGGCTTACTCCATATACTCCAGGAGCACCAACACCCATGCCCATGCCAACCCCTGCCATTGGATTTGACAAAGGCCTTAGAGCACCTGCACCAGCACGGCCAATACCAGAACCAGAACCCATTGCTTTACCCATTGTAACAGTTGATGTCACAGGGGTTATACTAGGTTTCTCCATCCTCTTCTCCTTGCGGTTAATAGCATCAAAATCAACTCCAATATCAGCTAAAGGATTTGTCTTAGCTACATACCAAAAATTGCAATGTTATGACTATGAAGGAAAAATAAAAGATATACGAAAAGGCAAAAGCACGATAACCTACATCCAGAAATGTTCAAATTGATCAATCCACGACTCAGTGTATCCGCCCACACGGTAGATTTTGTCTCAAATTTGTCTTTCGCTTGTTGGTTGCCGATGACGAGAGCTGTTGAAATTGGAGTAGACAGTGGGGGCATTGACACATTATTTGTTTGATTTTGTGAATATTGAAGATTCATTTGTGAAGGCATATGGGATGCAGTAGCTGCCTGCGTAAGGAAAGATGGTCCAGTAGGACTTTGACCCATTTGCATTCTAATTGAACTTGTATCTCCCAATCCTGTGTTGTAACCTCCAAAGTTAACATTGGTCTGCAGAGATTGACCAGCAGTTACCTGAAATGAACCCGATGCAAATGGGAAGCCATTAAGAGGTGCAAATTGACCACTTTGCGGACCAAAACTTGTCTGTGGTGTTTGGCCAGGTTGAACTGAATAACCACAAAAATATGGTGAATTGCTCGTTTGACCAGTAAACCCAATCTGAGATAAAGGTTGCCCGTGAATAGGAAAGCTAGTCTGTGGTAACTGTAAACCAGGTTGAGCTGCAAAACCTGTTGGTGAAGCATCCTGAACATGGGTAGTTGTATAACCTGTTGGTTGTACAGCTAGCCCACTGTAAGATGGAAAACCTGTCTGCGCTGTAAATGGGACACTTGAAATTGCATGGTCACTAGAGGGATGCAGAGAAGGTGAAGGAGCAGAAGGAGGGAGAATATCAGCCAATATATCAATATCATGGTTGGATGTGGACAGCTCCTGATGAGCATAATTGGGTGCTGCATATGTTATACTCGGGATCTCAGCACACAGTTCAGGACTTAGATTTGAGTTAGGAGGGAAAGATGGAGGAGAAATGTTTTGCGGCTGATTTTGAACTGTGTCTGAGGTTGGTACAGCTTTGAAAGGACCATCACCAAAAGGGTCCTCAAACATCTGCAAGAAATCTGCATTCAGTAAGTAAATGACAACTCTTTGTTAATAAACAGTAGTCCTGGAAGCATTAACCTCAGACGTGGTTGTAGTTGTTGATGCAAGGACTAATGAATTAGAAGAAAATGGCTCAGATAAGGAGCCAAGTAAATCCACTTCAGTGCCAATGGAAGTAATTGGAATAGGATTATTTGATTGAGCCCTGGCCACTGCTCAGTCAAAAATTGAAATTTTTAGCTCAGAAAAATTAAGTAACACGTGTTCGTGTTGAGATGTGCAATAATAAGAAATATATAGCAATTTTAAGTATCAAATAATCCAATATGACATGGAAAATGATCTACCAATGAAGATTTACTTATAAGTATGACTAATCAACATATGAAGAAATTCCAATTTTGTATAGAAGCTTCAACATATTTAATTAAATCTCTGAATTGCCTCATACTTTGTAATTCCAATGCCAAACAAGGAAGTCTACATGTGATAGTGCACCTTTTTAAAGATTACAAGGGAATAAAGAGGGATAATGTGGGGTCAGAAAATACCTGTTAATTTTATAGTAAGAGAGCAGACAATTGTTTGAGTGAGAAGTGATTCATAAAAGAAGTGAACCACAAAAGTTCTCTTTCTGGTAAACTGGCCATCTTAAATTGAAAATTTTTCTTCTTGAGAAACTTATCATTGTTTTTGAAGACTATGGGGGAAGATTTTCATGCTTATTAAAACCAAAGGAGTATATCTATATCGGCATATATATTTTGCATAGAATTTTCTGTTAAATTTAGTTGTCCTCCGTAGAATGGTTTCCAACTTTACCTAACATGTGCAAAAGTATATTTCACGTTCAAACAGTTTCTACCACTAGTGACGAAACGATAAAACTTCAAGGAATCAGGTTCTTATCATCAACCACAATCATAGTAAAATAACCTTAATTGTGCGACACGCTTAAGTAACACCTTTCATTGACAGAGATAAGTAGATAACCGACACAACTATGGTTTACACTATGAAGGTAGGGCTAGTGAAGACAACAACAAACTAGTAGGTCTTCATTACCAGAAAACACCTGTCCAAAGTGTTTGACTACACTGCTATACTTGAGCATTAATAGCATGTTTGGCCAAGCTGCAGAAATCAACTTATTTTGAGATGCACTTCTTATTAGAAATACTTTGAGATTGCAGTCTGTGTTTGACTAAATCATTTAGGAATGATTTTGTTAGTAAATAGGTTATAAATATATTTGAGCCTGTTGATTGTTAAAGTAGGTCCACTTACCTGAAAAAGAAGCTCGAGGATCAAATTCATCAAAGCTCTCAATATCCTTGTTCTCTGGTGGAGTAGTAGCTGAAAGTGGAGTGGACAATGAAGCAGCAACTGGTGCAACGGCAGGGGTGGCTTCCTTGTTTGGACTTTCAATTGCATGAGGTGAGGAAACTTTAGGAGCAGATGTTGAAGTTGTTTCCACATTCCTTTCACAACGAAAAATAAAGATCTACATAAAATTTACAGGAAAAGAAAGTTGGGCTAAGAATCTTCTCACACAACTATTACCTCTCACTATGTGTGGGGCTTTGAGATGCACCAATAGATTCCTCATAACTGGGAGGTAGATCGAGGTTTTGTTCAGAAAACCTTCTCTCATGTTGCATACCGTTAACACTGAAATTGAACATGTAAATTTCTTCATAAAGGAAAAAAATTCCCTAATTAGTCTAATGTTGTATATGTGTGTGTACATATCATCTAATGCTACACATACACATTATTTTATCTATAAGGTTTACTTCATACAAGAGAGAAATCATATAACAGAACTTAAGAAAAAACTAAAAGAGTCAATAATATCACCTTCCATCTTGAGAGCGATCCTCAGCCCTTGCACTGCTTTCTCTATTAGTCAAAGGTAATAGTCAACCATAACGATTAAAGTAACGCATTCATTAGTACTACTGAAGAAGATCAGAACATTATTGAATTGATGAAAACTACAAATCATATTTCAGAATAATGACAGGAATAAAATAGGGTGCTTGAAAAGAACCTATTTAGTTTTCTATCAGAATTTGAAACTTACACTACGTCAAAACAAACTATGCCTTCAAAGATAATACGAAAAGACAAACCTAGGAGAGTATTGACCATCATCATCATAAGCACGATCCCTGTTGTCATAGCTTGTACTTCTTGAGTCATTACTGTAGTCATCTACACTCTGACGATGATCATCATCTCTGTTTTCATCTTGGCTACGGTCATCATAACCTCTACCATAGCGATCCCCATCATGACTGTATGAATTACCATACCTACCATATTTGTCCTCATCTCTATAACCCCATTCTTTTTCTCTCCCATATCCATTTCTCTCTTCATCTCTGCCTCTATAACGTTCCTCTTCATATCTGTCACCATACCCTCCTGAACTTGAATATGAACCAGGTCGATGCATATCACCCCTTGATGAGTTGTGGAATCTATCAAGATGATGAGAAAAATTTAAGATGTCTTGCCATTGTAAGGACGACCAACAAAAAACAACACAAATTTGGCAAAACTTGCCTTTTAAGAATGTAATCATACCTTTAACTTAAATCTTATCGTTCATTTCAGTTATAAATTGTCCATCAGAATGTTGTCTCACCATTAGTTAAATTTTCTTTCCCGTCTCCAAATTAATAAAAAAGATTATATTTCTTCAATGAGAAAAGCTGCTATTCAACTAAACATATATCAAATGGATCAGAAAAGATCTAAGAGTCAAGTATACAATAAAACAAGCTCTATAATTAACTGATGTTTGTACTTTCCATCTTCGTGTTTTGCATTTTACTAGTAGTGTTGAATCTATCCATGTTGATCATCATCAGATTACATATCAAAACTATAAACTAGTACGGAAAGACAAAATATATGTTTTGTTATGAAGAGAGAAACAAACTGATCAATAGATTGTTTTCTTCCCATACAACAAAGAAGTTGGTGCAAGTGAAATAGTCCAGTGGTGAAATAGAAGAGGCAAGTTCATATTTTGTGAAAGAAGTATTATTGAAATTGCTCTGAAGCAATTCTAATATAAATAACTTTCACTAACACATCAGAATCACTTAATTCTTGAAAAGTATATATTAAAATTTGATGGAAGTACTACAACACAGTTAACAATCTTTCGGAGTTGAGGTGAGCTTTATCCTGAAACCACTGTTAATATTTTCTTTTTAGAAAAATCTTTTAGAGTTCAGACTATGTCTCACTTGAATTTTTTATTGACAACCAAAAACAAGTTCAGGTATTCACAAAATGTAGATTAATAATTTTCATCCGCAAAATGACAGGTTAGAGAAAAGCAAATCACATTTTATCTCAAAAAACTTATATTCACATCACATTTTACTAAGATTAGATTGCAGAAAATGTAGATATTAGTGGACACAAGAATACAGAACAATGACTAAATATAGAGACATAATGGTAGCAATCAATTTCTTTAATTTTTCTCTTTTTTTATTTTTTATTTTTATGTGTACGCGTGTGTGGAGAAGGGGGTATGAATGTGGTGCAAATTGAAGAAGACTTACTTGTCCCTGTTGGTAGCTGCCTTTCGGCGGACTTCTTGTATCCTCTCCTTATCATTGACAAGAAGAACAAGACTCTGAGATTTCTTTCTAACATGGCTTCCCTGATCTTTTCCACTAGAGTCGATGAATTGAAAATCAGATAACATCTGTGATAAACACCAAAGAAGATATCTCAGATACTAAAATTGCAGATTATGTCATCATACTCGTATATCAAAACAAAGAAGACACTTACAGATATTTGATATGAATGTTCCCTTATTTCATCTATGACACGCTCCGATCCACTGGCTACTAAGTAATCCAAAACAACTAAAGCCTGAAATTAACCATTGGAGTTTATTATAACAAATCAATAATGTGGTTGGTATAAAGATTTTGTAACATAGAAAATGCCACATTCAGGAGAAATTTTCCAGAGATGTTGTAATGCGAGAGGAGTCAAATAAAATCAAACCTTGTAAACATGCCGCCAATTTTTTCCAGTATCATTGAGACGCTTCCAAATTAAAGGCATAATCATTTGGTACTGATGACTGAAAATTTTGAGTTGAACTGTTAATTAGGAGAAAAGGAAATAAGAATAGCACAATTAAATAAAGATGGTGGTACAGACAAACAAGCTTACTAGTTTGTTGAAGCTTGAGCAATATCTGCAAGAAGTGATCCATGAGCACCCCAGGGCTCATTGCTAGTTGCATCAAGCACCTTAAATAGAGATATTAGTACTTTCTTAGAGAGATAAACTTCAAGCACAAGGGCATATTAAGTAAGGCATCTAGTTTTGTAGTTGCATATATGCAGAGAAGAATGAATGAATGTAACTTACCTTTTGCTCCAGGGAAGGGACCTTTAGAACATTTTTGTTCACCCCTCGCTTGCTGCAATAATAGTTAAAGAATTAACATGAGCAAATTTTGACATATATAGATAGAGAAATGACAAGTAGCAAAAGTTTTGGAAGTAATTAAACTTACAGGTCCCTCACAGTTTGACCCAAGGCCTTTTTCATTTTGGTAGCAGGCCAATTCACCTGAGACACAAGGAAGAAACTCATTTATATCGTCGCTCTTTGTTGAAGTTCATTTGCAATTATTTTCTAGTTGAAAGTCATCTCTTCAATACACATGCAGAGGCATAGATTCTACAAAGAAGTCAACTAAATAAATAAAGACATCTTCAATGATAACATTGTTATCCTATATTACTCATATTTTTTGTTCATTAATTTCCCACCCACAATTAATTCTATCTTTCATACAGAACATCTACATTCAACAATAAAATAAACAAACCCCATAAAAAGTTAATGGATACAAATTCCATAATTCAGCAAAAAAACAAATGACCAGTTTCTTATTTCACCATTTTGCTGACCAATACATTGACAAAATGAAGCATTATAAATTTCCATCCGAACAATCAGCAATGTTGTTAATTAGTTTTTGGAAATTAAAAGTTACATAACAAAATGAAACCTTAAATCAACAATGAATTAATGACAGATGAATGAAAAGCCAAATAAAGAGATGTAAAAATTAGAACCTGATGGAATTTGATACATACACCCTCCTCCCAATACAAGATCTGATACAACAAAAGAAATAAATAATATTGAATGGGGAGGGAGGAGGGGGAAAGAGCTACAAATTAATTTTTTTTATTTTTTATTTTTTGTGAGAGAAGTTGTAACGTTAGCGTTCAAACAAAAGAGACTCTTTCCATGGTGTACAACAACTTCTTTTCATGATATATACATATAGTTACTAAATTCATTGACCATTTTACATTTTTTACTAATTAATGTTTTAACTTGCTTTCCTTTATCAATTGTCCTTAATTAGTTTCGCCTATATATTTTAATATTGGGATCGGAATACTCTTGTCTATAGTTTTATTGCGCCGTGAGAAAGTGACTAACCTTATTTTGAATTGAGAAAAATGACATTTGGTTCTCATTGTATAAGTTAGGTTACTTAAATGAAATGCAATAATAGGTATATATCCTCTGTTACTATTAATGTGATAAAACAAACAATTCATGACGTGCAATTAATTATAGAGTATAAAGTTGTTACTTCTTCTCGTATATTACAACATCATCTGTTTTGGCTTTTGTAATAAATAAAGCGTCGCATAGTTTGGTTCAAAATTCAGTCTAGTACTGAGTTTTTTTAAATATGTGGCACCACATGATTAACGCGTCAATAAATGCATCCTTTTAAAAATATTGGGGTACGTACGTTTGTGGAGAAAGTGAATAGTAATACTCCATTTTATATCGGTTAGTAGAGTACTAGAACCTCCGCAAAATTAATGTCAAAATTTGGACAAGTTTATGTATTATCCCAACGAGTTTGACAGAAATAGAAATTGATGAAGATTAGATGCAGTAAGTGATGTTTGAAAGTTATTTACTATTTCAAGTACACAAAGGAAGAAAGAATAAAAAGAGAAACACTACATGATGACACTAATTGGAGGCTTACTAACCACCACATTTTTTTCCCAAGCAACAAAGAGGTAGTAGTAGCTAGCTAGCTAGTTCAAGAGGCTCAAAGTGTCATAACACTTTGTGGTGGCATTGTTTTTGTTGGAAAGTAGAGAGTGGACATACTTGCAATTAGGACAACATGGTGATGACTGTGACACTATCACTAATAGATGACAATTTGAACATGGCAATGCTATCATATTGTTGCTCCCACTAGTACTGTTGCTTTTGTTCTGTTTCTTTGAGTAGTAGTCATGATCATGATCATGATCATCATCCATTTGAATTGTCCTTGATGATATGTTTAGTTCAAGGTCTAGCTTTTGGTCCTTTGGCCAATCCCATGTCTTCCTCAGTGTTTTCCTATTTAGGTAGTACATTCTTCCTGACTGCAAGTAATTTGTTGCAAAATAAACATCATTAGTTAAACAAAAAAGAAGAGTAAAAGTACTGAATTCATGTTCTTGACCCTATAGTAGCAACAGTGGCAGAGGCAGAATTTTCACCTAGCTAGTTCAACATATACTATAAGAAAGGACTTGACTTTAATTTGTATATACTATACACTTTAGCTTTGCTATTGACTGATAAAAGATTTATATATCGGTGCATATAACTTAAACTGTTTAATAGAAAATAGATATTAGATTTGAAGTGAAAGAAAGGGTATACTTCAAGATCAAGACATTGCTCCCAATCCAAAGGAAGAGGATCTTTAAGTTGAAGATCAACACTAGCTTGAATCATTTCTTGCTTTCTCTTCATTGGAAGATTGATTTGATGAGATTCATAATTGGAAAGATAAGAAGGAGCCAATGAAAGTTCAGGGAATTCCATGACTATATATGTATATTGAGTAACCAAAACTTTTGATTACAAGTAGACAATTGTTGTGTTTTATATATGAAGGGAAATTACTTATAGGACAAGGAAAAATTAAAGTAAATTCCTATAGTAGTTGAAATATATTTTTGTTGGCAGAGAGGGTCATGCAAGAAGGTGAGTCTACTTAAATTGGCTTTCATCAAACACATTTAAAGGAGGAGGGGAGGGGTCAGGCCAAACATTTAATGAAACAAGTAGATATATCACTTTAATGCCCCAAAATCCTACTACTACTACTCTCTCATATTGGCATTTAAAATCCCTCCATCTACAGATGAAACATTAAAACCTCAATTTATTGTGCTGTTTCCATTTCAACTATTTCCTTTAATTCACACCCTTTGCCAAAAGAAACATTTATTATTTTCCTAGCCAAGCTTAACTTCACTTGCCCACCGTATTAAAAATAGATGTTCATTTATACTCCCTTTGTCCAATAATAGTTGTCCGTTATTCATGACTTTGTACATTTCTTAAGAAACTATAAATAGAGGGGTAATTTTACTATATCACCCTTTGATATAATATATACAATGTCTTGAAAATGTAATAGGAAAATGACTATAATTAATGATAAGGGTAAATTAGGAAGTGTAAAATTATCCATTGATTTCATAAAGTTAACAAGTATTGTTATATATCCGAAAATAGTATAGTAGACAACTATTGTTGGACGGAGGAGGGAGTACTTGTCTAGTATGGAAAACAAAGATTTAATTTACCATTTTTTACTCATTTTACTCTTATTATTAAGTACTCCCTTCATCCCAAAATATATAAGTGTGATCACATTAGTAAAAATCATGTTTATTAAGAAATCAATATATACAATATGTAGTTTACTAAGTTATACCTATTTAATAAATGTTTTTTTTTTGTGAATTGAAAACTATCAAGAAGATGGATAGTAATGCTATAGTTGGAAAGTATATTTCTAAAGTGACTTATTTTGTGACAATTTATTTTTTTGCTAAAGTTATACGTATTTGGGGACGGAGTGAGTACAAATTGTTTCATATTCATTTCCAATGAGTGAGATGACTTGTAGTACTAATTAGGTTAAAAAAATTACGTTCCCTAGAGTTTTCGCCCTTTTGTTCCCTTCACTATCTTTTAGTTGGAAGGACTGGATGCTTATCGTCTTTAAGTAGTATGTCAAATCAAAGTATCAAACATTGACAAATAAATATGGATGGATAAGTGAGTATAAATTAAATTTTGTACTCTCTTTGTTTTTATTTATATGTCATTATTTTAGATTTCACATTTTTTTAAAAACTATGTAAGTTTATTATTGTACCTTTATTTAGCGTTATCTTGAAGTCAATATTTCAATAAATGAACATAAATTAATTTATTTTGATTAATTAAATTAACCAATGAACATGAATTAATCATTTAGTTTTCCTATGTTGGTCAAATTAATACTTTCAAGGCTAATTTCTCTCAAGGGTAAAATATGAAGAATAACGTCATTTATGTATTGGTTTTGTGAAATGAAAAATATTAATTTTTTTAGTAAGGACAAAATGTAAATAGGAACGGAGGGAGTATCTAATTTGAAAGTCCTTAATTTAACTACCACCTTCATCTCACATATAGTTCATTCATTAACACACTACAATTAATGACTTCAATTATTAAAAGGGAAATTTTCTGTATCCCAAACTCATTTATATGTTCATGAGATTAAAATAACAGAAAACCAAAAGATAACTTGAATGAAAAAAGTTAAGTTTTATGCAATGTATAGTGCTGAAAATAAATGGAGGGGGTTAATTGAAGGCCTCCACTAGAAAGGTATGGATTCATTACCCCCTTTTTAAGCATTAAATGGAGAAAACCATACTAGAACCCTAAAAAATTGTATATTTTACTTAAAATTAAAATATTTTGAAATATTGTCATCTTAAAACATTGATTTCATTTACTTTGAAACATGTGTAATGTAAAGTCAATAATAAAAAATTTATTGTATTTATATATATATATTGCTTGGTGGTAAACAAACTAGCACACTCCATGATAAATTAGACAAAGGGGATTTCTACTTTACACAATATATGTAACATAACAAATGTCACTAGTATATAGTAAGTACTCCCTATCGATAGCCAAGGGTGAATTCAAGTTATGAAGTTTGGATTTTATTGAGAATTCATTAGATATATAAAACAAATTTGCTTCTTATTTATTTTTTCTTTACAAGAAGTCACACAACATTTTGTTTGGTCTCTCTATTTCTTTATAATTTGAGATTATTAAGAATTTATAAATTTTAAATTCTAAATTCACCTACGTGAATAACCATTGCATTTCCATTAATTTGTGAGTAGATGTGTTAACTTCTTCTCTATGAAATCTTCATTTGCAATTAATGAGAAGTTGGGAGACTGCAATATCTATATACGATCGAATTTAATTCATTAAAGAGAGAGGGAGTATATATTATCTACTACAACACCTCATTTATTGGTATGTGAATAAGTACTTGCAGTTATAGCCTGCAAACCTAGTTGGATACTCTTCAATTGCAAAAATTCACATCAATTTAAGTTTATCTTGCGTGCTAGCTCGACAATCATAAAATTAGTATTTAATTTTAAGAATACTAGCACTACCTCGGATCCGTT